CTCAGCTTGCCCACGTGACTCTCTTCCAAATGTGCTTCCTTTCATGCCTGCTCTAAAATGTTGTGTATGTATTTATTTGTTTATTTATTTTTGAGACAGAGTCTTGCTGTATCGCCAAGGCTGGAGTGCAGTGCTGCAATCCCAGTTCACTGCAGCCTCTGTCTCTGGGAGTCAAGCGATTCTCCTGCCTTAGCCTCCCAAGCAGCTGAGATTACAGGTGCTGCCACCATGCCTGGCTAATTTTTTTTTTTTTTTTTTTTTTTGTATTTTTAGTAAAGATGGGGTTTCACCATGTTGGCCAAGCTGGTCCTGAACTTCTGACCTCAGGTGATCGGCCCACCTTGGCCTCCCAAAGTGCTGGGATTATAGGTGTGAGCCACCTGGCCCGGACCCAGACAACTTCTTAACCCACTTCCACTTCTGCTCTAAAACATGCTTGGTCTCCCACTTGGCCTTAAACCCTCGGACACATTCCTTCCTTCCTGGAGGCAAGAACTGAGTTGCTGCAGACCCACAGGGATACCCTGCTGCTCACAGTTTCAGAAGGATCTCCCTGGCTGCTGTGTTGAAAATAGAGGAAGCAGGGCTTAGGAGGCGTTTGCCCTTGTTTAAGTGAGAGAAGGAGGTGGCTCTGACTGTGGGGTAACAAAGAAGCCGGTAAGAAGTGGTCTGATTCTGGATGTATTTTGAAAGAAGAACTGACACGATATCTTTCCAAATCAACATGAGGTGCCAAAGAAAGAGAGGAATAAAGAACTACAAACTTTACAGCCTGAGCACCTGGAAGGGGAGCTGTCCCTAGCTCTGCCTGGGCCCTGCAATCCCACAGGTGTTTGGAAGAGCCCCCTCCTCACTCCTGTCCCATGAAACCAGGGCGTGTGGTAGGGACAAATCTGACTGCTGGAGACAGGGGTGTGGAGTAAAGCCCAGAGCACTGGCCTGCTCAGGCCCGGGTAGAATTGTTGCTTGTATAAACAAAACATACAATTCAAAGGCCCCCAACCCCAACCATCTGAATGGACAACCCCCTCGGCCAGGGCACTCCAAATGTAACCTGAAAGATTGGTTCCGGCCATGATGGGAAGCAGCCCTGGTAGGGCGTGGGCCCACCGCCCTTTGGGAACGCAGGAAAAGTCACCAGCATTTCACATTAACACAGACCTGAAGTCTTATAAGAAACATTTACAGTCTTTCCTCTCTGAGGCCTGCTACCTGGAGGCCTCATCTGCATGATAAAACCTTGGTCTCCACAACTTCTTATCATAACCCAGACACTCCTTTCTATTGATAATAACTTTCAGCCAATTGCCAATCAGAAAATCTTAAGTCTGCCTGCAACCTGGAAGCCCCCGCTTTGAGCTGTCCCACCTTTCTGGACTGAACTAGCGTGTATCTTACATGTATTTGATTGGTGTCTCTCTAAAATATATAAACCCCAGATGTGCCCTGACCCCCCTGGACACATGTTCTCAGGACCTGCTGAGGGCTGTGTCACAGGCTGTGGTCACTCACGTTTGGTTCAGAACAAATCTCTTCATATATTTTACAGAGTTTGACTCTGTTCATTGAGACTTGGTAAAATGTCCCTGAAATACAAGGTTATGGATCTGCTATACCTTAGCTCCTCGGGCCACCACAAAGGCGCTCTGGATTCACTGAGTGGAAAACCTTCTTCCTCTTTCAACCTGGGCCCAGTGCTTGGAGGCCTGCAGATTAGCTGAGACAAAATAGATTAACAGGAGGGAGGACTGACCGTATTTACACATGGTGAGAGGTGTTCTGTAATGAGCAACTCACTGAGTACCCAGAAATAAAGGGTTGTTTACCAAACTCCACACCAGGGAAGGGTTAGGGCTTCAGTGGGAACGTGCGGAAGGTTGCACTGGGCTTTCTGGTGCTAACCGCAATGGCCAGTGTGTCTCCAAGGCAGCGGAACTGGCAGGGAACTGCCTTGGCCTCTGCGTTTTGGGGAGGCTCTGCTTTAGTCAGGAAAGAAAAATTCAGACAAGATTTCTTCCTGCATCTTCTGTAGCTCAAATGTTTTCACATTTATTTATTTGTTTGTTTATTTAAGACAAAGTCTCACTCTGTTGCCCAAGCTGGAGTGCAATGGCTCAGTCTTGGCTCAGTGCAACCTCCGCTTCCTGGATTCAAGTGATTCTTCTGCCTCAGCCTCTCAAGCAGCTGGGATTACAAATCTGTATCACCACACCTGGCTAATTTATGTTTATAGTAGAGACAGGGTTTCACCATGTTGGCCAGGCTGGTCTCGAACTCCTGGCCTCAAGTGATCCACCCACCTCGGCCTCCCAAAGTGCTGGGATTACAGGCGTGAGCCACCGCACCTGGCTGGTTTTCACTTTAAAATGATCTTTAATACCAACTCTTGGGTCTGAATGGGCCCCCACTCGTTTCAAATGTTGAGCATGCACAGATTATGTGGATGAGAACTGGCCAGGCGGGATTACAGACGCTGACTTGGTAAGAATCACCTAAGTCAGCCAGGTGCCATGGCTCACATCTGTAATCCCAGCACTTTGGGAGGCTGAGGCGGATGGATCGCCTGAGGTTAGGAGTTCGAGACCAGCCTGGCCAACATAGTAAAACCCTATCTCGGCCGGGCGTGATGGCTCATACCTGTAATCCAAGCACTTTGGAGGCCAAGGCGGGCGGATCACCTGAGGTCAGGAGTTGAAGACCAGCCTGACCAACATGATGAAACCCCGTCTTGGAAAAAAACAAAAAGAAACTCTATCTCTACTAAAAATACAAAAAAAAAAACAAAAAACAAAAAACAGCTGGGCATGGTGGCAGGTACCTGTAATCCCAGCCAGTTGGGAGGCTGAGGCAGGAGAATCACTGGAACCTGGGAGGTGGAGGTTGCAGAGAGCTGAGTGAGATTGCACCGTTGCACTCCAGCCTGGCGACAGAGTGAGACTCCACCTCAAAAAAAAAAAAAGAATCACCTAAATTTGCAAGGCCCTGATGACAGGTGCTCTCCACACCGAGGCTCATTTCCATGGGTTGCAGAAGAGGAAGCTTCACTCACTTCTTGTGTTGTGTGTAACCCACATGCTATAAACCATGTCCCTCTGAAGTAGCGTATAGCCTCATGAATGTTTTCATCTGTAATGTGTAGATGCCCAGGATGTATCCGACACTCAGGTCAGGATTTAGAATGTGCTCAGCGCCTCAACGGTTCCCTCGCGTTCCCTTCCAGTCAGGCCCCACTTGCTGCTACAGAACGGAACAATCATTTTTGGTTTTTAGAGAAAGGGTCTGGCTCTGTGTCCGAAGCTGGAGTGCAGTGAGTGGTGCCATCACGGTTCACTGAGGCCTCTGCCTCCCGAGTTCGAGCAACCCTCCCGTTTCAGTGTAACCACTGTTCTTACCTCTATCACCACAGATGAGTTCTGCCTGTCTCTGAATTTCATGTAAACGGAATCGTGCACTTATATGCTCTTTTGTGTCTGGATTCTTTGTTGACACTATGTCTGCCAGACTCAGCCATGTGCTGTTGAACTATTTTACTTCATCCGTTTTTGTTGTTGGGTAGTGTTCCGTTGCATAAATATAACACGATTTATTTCTCCATTTTCCTATTGCTGGGCATTTGGATTATTTTGTTTTTCACTATTTGAATAAAGCTGCTATGAACATTCTTGCTTATGTCTTGGGTATACAGATGGTCCCAATTTACAGTGATTTGACTTAAAATTTTTTGACTTTATGATGGGCTTGTCAGAGTATTAAATGTTTCTGACTTACAGTATTTTTGACTTATCACTTGTTATCGGGACAGAATCCCTTCCTAAGACGAAGAACCGAGGAACATCTGTATGTACCAGAATCCTGTGGAGCAGCTTGTAACTCATGAGGAGTGGGAGCCGACAGATTCACTCCCAGGACAGATAGTTCTCAGACACGTCTCATGAAGCTTCTTAGAAGATGGTACAGGATCAAGCAACCAGCCAGCCACAGCAGGGCCAACCGGAGACGCATCTTTGCACGGGCGCTCCCTCTGTCCCTGTCTCACCTCTCCTTTTCCTAACCTTGCTCTTTGAGACTATGTTCCAAAATAAATTATTCAGAGAAATGGAGCTAAAGCTGACCCATTAGCCAACAGCTGGGTCCCGCGCTAACAGGGCTTCTGTGCTGGAAACGTTTACTGAGGAACCAGTGTTCCCTCTCGGATAATGGTCGTTCCATTCAGATGCAGCATAGGAAGGGGGTGGGGCAGGGGTTAGCAGGAGACAAGACCAGAAGTGTGCCCCGGGGCCCTGCTCATGACTCTTTGCGCCAAGCGTTGGCGTTAGCCTTTATTCTGTAGGTGACGGGAAGCCAGTTCCGGCTCGGGGTTTGAGCAGGGAAACAGCAGTGCCAGAGCTCTGCTTGGGCGGAGGCCAGGAAGGGAAGAGTTAGGTCAAGAGGACCAGGTAGGAGGCTGTGACCTAGGACTTCAGCAGTGGGACTAGAAAGGGGATGGATATGAATGATATTGCAGAGTAAAACTAGAGAGACTTGGCAACTTGCAGAGAGAAGCAAAAGATGACTCTGAGGTCTGGAGTCCAGGAAGCCAAGGACAGGGAAGCCATCCACAGAAACAGGCAAGGGCAGGTGTGGAAGGGAAAGTGATTGGTTCATCAGACCCCACAGCCCCTGGCAGCCCCCTCCTCGATCTCAGAAATCCTGTGCACCCCAGGAGACTCCCAGAGGCCCACTGGGCTCACTGGAGAAAGGCCGGCCGCCTCTCCTTTCATCGCTGGGAGAGGAAGCCTGAACCATAAGGCCTGGACTACGGGCTCAGACCAGAATATTTCCAGACTTAAGGGCAGTAATGTGGAGCCCAGGAAGGAATATTGAGGAGACAGCACAAATTCCTTAGCTAAAGGGATGCTGGGTTTTTATTTTCTACTTTCAAGAAATGTTTGCTATAGTAATGACAACCATCACAAAGCAATGAATGATACCGTGAGCCAAACAGGTTTCATAGCTTCTCACTGATTCGACGCACATTTAAACGTGTTCATGACAACTGTAGATTTCAGTTTTGCTCTGGCTAAACCAATGTGAAAGTATACAGGATGTGAGCTGAGAGACAAGCACCCCTGGCCCAGCAGTTCTGGCCTCAGCCGGCCACGCTGGGGACAGATGACCTCTGCTCCATGGATCCTGCTGGCTCGGGGTGGGGAAGGGGCCTCAGGAGAGGAGTCAGGCTTTCTTCTTGATCCCCTCTATGGCCATGGAGAATGGTATTCCTGGGAGGCTGGTTTGGAGAAGCCGCTGAACCTAAGAGAGCAGGAAGTGAAGCTCTGTTCCCACCTGTGCTGTGTTTCCAAACCACAGCTGCCTCGTGGGGACACTCACCAGGAGCCAGGCCCCCTCCACGCCTGACCTCAATCAATCCTCCCTCGTGGGGACACTCACCAGGAGCCAGGCCTCCTCCACGCCTGACCTCAATCAATCCTCCCTCATGGGGACACTCACTAGGAGCCAGGCCCTCTCCACGCCTGATCCCTATCAATCCTCCCTCGTGGGAACATTCACCAGGAACCAGGCCCCCTCCACGCCTGATCCCTATCAATCCTCCCTCATGGGGACACTCACTAGGAGCCAGGCCCCCTCCACGCCTGATCCCTATCAATCCTCCCTCGTGGGGACACTCACTAGGAGCCAGGCCCCCTCCACGCCTGATCCCTATCAATCCTCCCTCGTGGGGACACTCACCAGGAGCCAGGCCCTCTCCATGCCTGAGCTCAATCAATCCTCCCTATGGCCCTATCAGGCAAGCTCTAGGATACACATGAGGAAACTGAGGCTCAGAAAGGCTGAGAAAGTGGCTTGAGGTCACCCAGGCAGTAAGTGGTAGAGCTAGGAGTTGAACTCAAATCCATCTGACTATCAAGCCCACTCTCTTTCCATTGCACTATCTGCTTTTCTTTCTGCCCAAAGCCATAATATGCCAGGAAGTGGGCCAAGGCCTCTCCTCCAGTGCTGGGCAGAGGGCTCTGGACAGCCTGAAGCCAAGATGTTATCCAGTGTAATGCCTACGTGACCTCGGCGAATATCTACCCTGCCCGAACTCTGTTTATCTTTAGGAAACGGAATGCCTGAGGTCAGAACTTCTCCTTAGCTGGTGATCAAACCAGCTAAGACTGGTGGAATCCAAGATGGTGGCTCACTTGACCTCTAACTTCATTATAATCTAATTTCCATGCTAAATCACACTTCCACTAGCACCACAACAGTAATCAACCACCATGACAATGCTGGGGGGGCAAAAACATAAAAAAAACAAACAGGAAGGTGGCACTCTGGTTTTGAAAACTTCTCCACCCAGACCCAGAAAACACAATTCCTCCCTTTGCTTTTTTTTATTTTTATGTTTGTAGAGATGAGGGTCTCATTATGTTGACCAGGCTGGTCTCGAACTCCTGGTCTCAAGCAATCCTCTCATCTTGGCCTCCCAACGTGTTGCATTTATAGCAGTAAGCCGTTTGGCACCTGGCCACTCCTCCTCTTGCTTTTAATGCTCAGCCCCTTTTCTATATCTGTGACTTCCAGAGTCTCACAAGCAGAAATGTTGATTTGCGAGCCAAGCTCTCACTTCTCAGTTCCATGGCCACCAAATAAAGCCTGCCCTGCTTGACACTCATTTTCGATTTTGCATATTGGCTTCATGGCACCAAACGGGGAAAGACCTCATTTCAGGGGGAGTGGCTTTGTCAGTAACAAGGACACAGAAGGAAAGCAGAGAATGGAGGATGACTCATGGCAGAGGTCAGCAAACTGCAGTCTATGGGGCAAATCTGGCCACTGCCTGTTTCTGTACAACTCATAGGCTAAGAATGGTTTCTGTATTTTTAGATGGTAGGAGAAAAACATAAAAGAATAATGTTTTGTGACACATGAAAAGTATATGAGATTCAAATTTCAGTGTCCGCAGACAGCAATCCTGGCTCCTACCCCAAACCGATCATCACAGTGGAGCTCTGCTAAGGCCCCTTTCTCCCTCTGGTTCCCTGACTTTGGGGTCTAGAGGCCACAAAGGCAAGGAGCAGGCCGCCATCCACACCCCTTCTTGGAGAACTTCCAGGGAGCTCACCGTGCTCTGCACCCAGTCTAGATGGCTCCTAGCAGGGCTGGGTGGGTTCTCCATCTTCAGCACCATCTGCAGCCCCATCTTGGTCATCTGAGAAGCTGAGAGAAACACAGGTGAAAGCTCCTGTCATCATCTCTGCCTCCCACACCCACTGCTGCTGCCCTACATCCACAGCATCTCTCTGCAGACTCCTGTCTCCCCTCAAAAGTCTACCTGCACTGGTCAAGAGACATCCACACTGCAAGAGAGAGCGTTAAGTGGGACCCAGCCACCTCTTTCTCCTCCTCATCTCTACCACAGACAGCTTAACCTCTCTCTGTGGAACCTGAAAAAGTAGCTCAGAGAGGAGTAGCAGGTGGCAAGGAACATCAGGAAACAAAGCTAGAAGGAACATGTAGGCACCTTTGACCTGAAATAGGATGCAAGATCTCAGGATTGTCAGGGACCTTAGGAACCATCCAGGGTATGTCCTGGCTTTGGCCTGACATGCAGGCAAAGGACTCGCCTCTGCCAACCACAGCATCCAGCTTTGCTGTGGGTGGAAACAAGCCTACATGTGAGTTACCAGGGTTGCAGAGGACACTGTGGTCTGGGCAGCAGTCTGGTACCACATGGCAGAATTCATCACAGTAGCAACCTCCCCTCTTGCAGTGGTGATCTGTTCCAAGACAGCAAAGGCGCTGGGGTTGGGAGCAGCTGCCTGGAGAAAAAGGAATATTTTTTTAAAAATAGATTAAAATTAGCCAGGTGTGGTGGTGCATGCCTATAGTCCCAGCTACCCAGGGGGCTGAGGTAGGAGGAGCACTTGAGCCTGGAAGCTGAACTGAGCCATGATCGCACCACTGCACTTCAGCCTAAGTGACAGAGCAAGACACTGTCTCAAAAAAAAAAAAAAAAAAAAAAAAAAAGAAAAGAAAAAAAGAAACAAAGAAAGAAAGAAAAAGAAACAAAGAAAAGAAAAGGTAGATTTAACAAATGGTGATTGGTCAGCTGGATAAGCACATGCAAGAGAATGCATTTGGACCCCTGCCTCACACCATATACAAATATTAACTTGAAATGTACCAAAGACCTAAATGTAACAGCTGAAACTGGCCAGGCATGGTGGCTCACACCTGTAATCTTAATACTTTGAGCCAAGATTGCACAACTGCACTCCAGTCTGGACAACAGAGCAAGACTCTTTCAAAAAAATAAAAATAAAGGGGGGTAGCTGGCAAGATGGCCAAACAGGAACAGCTACAGCCTGTAGCTCCCAGCAAGATCAACACAGAAGACAGGTGATTTCTGCATTTCCAGCTGAGGTACCCAACTCATCTCACTGGGACTGGTTAGACAGTGGGAGCAGCCCATGGAGGGCAAGCCAAAGCAGGGTGGGGTGTCACCTCACCCCAGAAGTGTAAGGGGTAGGGAACTCCCTCCCCTAGCCAAGGGAAGCCATGAGGGACTGTGCCACGAGGAACAGTGCACTACAGCCCAGATACTATGCTTTTACCATGGTCTTCACCACTCGCAAACCAGGAGATTCCCTCAGGTGCATACGCCACCAGTGCCCTGGGTTTCAAGCACAAAACTGGGTGGCCGTTTGGGCAGACACTGATCCAGCTGCAGGAGTTTCCTTTCATACCCCAGTGGCACCTGGAATGCCAGCAAGACAGAACCGTTCACTTTCCTGGAAAGGGGGCCGAAGCCAGGGAGCCAAGTGTTCTAGCTCAGCAATCCCATCCCCACAGAGCCCAGAGAGCTAAGACACTCTGGCTTGAAATCCTTGCTGCCGGCACAGAAGTCTGAAGTCGACCTGGGATGCTCAGGCTTGGTGCAGGGAGGGGCATCTGCCATCACTGAGGATTGAGTAGGCGCTTTTCCCCTCACAGTGTAAACAAAACCGTGGGAAGTTTGAACTGGGTGGAGTCCATCACAGCACCTCAAAGCCATTGTAGCCAGACTGCCTCTCTAGATTCCTTTTTTCTGGGTAGGGCTTCTCTGAAAGAAAGGCAGCAGCCCCAGTCATGGGCTTATAGATAAAATTCCCATCTCCCTGAGACAGAGCACCTGGGAAGGGGCAGGTATGGACACAGCTTCAGCAGACTTAAACGTTCCATGGCTCTGAAGACAGCAGTGGATCTCCCAGCACAGCACTCAAGCTCTGCTAAGGAATAGACTGCCTCCTCAAGTAGGTCCCTGAGTCCCATGCCTCCTGACTGGGAGACACCTCCCAGCCGGGGTCAACAGACACCTCATACAAGAGAGCTCCAGCTGTCATCTGGTGGGTGGGCCCCCCAGAGGGGGACAAACCTTCCAGAAGAAGGGACAGGCAGCAATCTTTGCTGTTCTGCAGCCTCTGCTGGTGATACCCAGGCAAACAGGGTCTGGAGTGGACCTTCAGCAAACTCCAGCAGACCTGCAGCAGAGAGGCCTGACCGTCAGAAGGAAAACTTACAAACAAAAAGGAATAGCATCAACATCAACCAAAAGGACGTCCACACAGAAACTCCATCCAGAGGTCACCAACATCAAAGACAAAGGTAGATAAATCCACAAAGATGTGAAAACACCAGCACAAGATGACTGAAAATTCCTAAAACCAGAACACCTCTTCTACAAAGGATCACAACTTCTCACCAGCAAGGGAACAAAACTGGACGGAGAATGAATTTTATGAACTGACAGAAGTAGGCCTCAGAAGATGAGTAATAACAAACTCCTCTGAGCTAAAGGAGCATGGGTTCTAACCCAGCGCTAAAAACCTTCAAAAAAGGTTAGAGGAATTGCTAACTAGAATAATCAGTTTACAGAAGAACATAAATGACCTGATGGAGCACACAGAACAAGAACTTCATGAAGCTACAACAGTATCAGTAGGCGAATAGATCAAGTGGGATAAAGGATTTCAGAGACTGGGGATCAACTTAATGAAATAAAGCATGAAGACAAGATTAGAGAAAAAAGAGGGAAAAGAAATGAACAAAGCCTTGAAGAAATATGGGACTATGTGAAAAGACCAAACCTACGTTTGATTGGTGTACGTGAAAGTGACAGGAGAATGGAGCCTGGAAAACGTCCTTCAGGACATTATCTAGGAGAACTTCTCCAACCTAGCAAGACAGGCCAACATTCAAATTCATGAAATACAGAGAACACCACAAAGATACTCCTTGAGAAGAGAAACCCCAAGATACTTAATTGTCAGATTCACCAGGGTTGAAATGAAGGAAAACCTGCTAAGGGCAGCCAGAGAGAAAAGTCGGGTTGCCCACAAAGGGAAGCCCATCAGACTGACAGTGGACCTCTTGGCAGAAACCCTACAAGCCAGAAGAGAGTGGAGGCCAATGTTCAACATTCTTAATGAAAATAATTTTCAACCCAGAATTTCATATCCAGCCAAACTAAGTTTCATAAGCAACAGAGAAATAAAATTATTTACGGACAAGCAAATGCCAAGAGATTTTGTCACCACCCGGCCTGCCTTACAAGAGCTCCTGAAGGAAGCACTAAACATGGAAAGGAAAAACTCTTACCAAGCCACTGCAAAAACATATCAAATTGTAAAGACCAATGACACTATGAAGAAACCACATCAACTAACAAGCAAAGTAACCAAGTATCATCATAATGATAGGATCAAATTCACACATAACAATACTAACCTTAAATGTAAATGGGCTAAATGCCCCAATTAAAAGACAGACTGGCAAATTGAATAAAGAGTCAAGACCCTGGCTGGGCGCAGTGGCTCACACCTGTAATCCCAGCACTTTGGGAGGCCGAGGCGGGTGGATCACGAGGTCAAGAGATCGAGGCCATCCTGGTCAACACAGTGAAACCCTGTCTCTACTAAAAATACAAAAAGTTAGCTGGGCATGGTGGCGCGTGCCTGTAATCCCAGCTACTCAGGAGGCTGAGGCAGGAGAATTGCCTGAACCCAGGAGGCAGAGGTTGTGGTGAGCCGAGATCATGCCATTGCACTCCAGCCTAGGTAACAAGAGCGAAACTCCATCTCAAAAAAAAAAAAAAAAAAAAAAGTCAAGACCTGTCGGTGTGCCATATTCAGGAGACCCATCTCACCTGCAAAGACACACATAAGCTCAAAATAAAGGGATAAAGGAAAATTTACCAAGCAAATGGCAAGGAAAAAAAAGCAGTGGTTGCAATTCTAGTCTCTGATAAAACAGACTTTAAACCAACAAAGATCAAAAAAGACAAAGAAGATCATTACATAATGGTAAAGGGATCAATGTAACAAGAGCTAACTATCCTAGATATACATGTACCTAATACAGGAGAACCCAGATTCATAAAGCAAGTTCTTAGAGACCTACAAAGAGACTTAGACTCCCACACAATAACAGTGGGACACTTTAACACCCCACTGTCAATATTATATCAACAAGACAGAAAATTAACAAGGATGTTCAGGATTTGAACTCAGCTCTGGACCAAGTGGACCTAATAGACATTTACAAAACTCTCCACCCCAAATCAACAAAATACACATTTTTCTCAGCACATCACACTTATTCTACAATTGACCACATAATTGGAAGTAAAACACTCCTCAGCAAATGCAAAAGGATGGAAATCATAACAAACAGTCTCTCAGACCATACTGCAATCAAATTAGAACTCAGGATTAAGAAACTCACCCAAAATTGCACAACTGCATGGAAACTGAGCAACCTGCTCCTGGATGACTACTGGGGAAATAACAAAATTAAGGCAGAAATAAATAAGTTCTTTGAAACCAATGAGAACAAAGACACAATGTACCAGAATCTCTGGGGCACAGCTGAAGCAGTGTTTAGAGGGAAATTTGTAGCACTAAATGCCAACAGGAGAAAGCAGGAAAGATCTCAAATGAACACTCTAACATCGCAATTAAAAGAACTGGAGAAGCAAGAACAACCCAATTCAAAAGCTAACAGAAGACCAGAAATAACAAAGATCAGAGCAGAACTGAAGGAGCTAGAGATACAAAAAGCCTTTCAAAAAAATCAATAAATCCAGGAGCTGGGTTTTTTTTTTTTGTTTGTTTGTTTGTTTGTTTTTAAGATTAACAAAATAGGTAGACCACTAGCCAGACTAACAGAGAAGAAAAGAGAGAAGACTCAAATAGACACAATTTAAAAAAATGATAAAGGGGATATCACCAGTGACCCCACAGAAATGCAAACATCAGAGAATATTGTAAACACTTCTACACAAATAAACTAGAAAATCTAGAAAAAAAAAAAATGGATAAATTCCTTGACACATACACCTTCCCAAGGTTACACCAGGAAGAAGTCAAATCCCTGAATAGATCAATAACAAGTTCTGAAATTGAGGCAGTAATTAATAGCCTACCAACCAATAAAAGCCCAGGACCAGGTGGATTCACAGCCAAATTCTACCAGAGGTACAAAGAGGAGCTGGTATCATTCCTTCTGAAACTATTCTAAACAATAGAAAAAGAGGGAATCCTCCCTAACTCATTTTATGAGGCCAGCATCATCCTGATACTAAAACCTGGCAGAGACTCACACAAAAAAAGAAAATTTCAGGCCAATGTCCCTGATGAACATCAATGCAAAAATCCTCAGTAAAATACTGGCAAGCCAAATCCAGCAGCACATCAAAAATCTTATCCACCACAATCAAGTTGGCCTCATCCCTGGGATGCAAGGCTGGTTCAACATACGCAAATCAATAAATGTAATCCAT